CTGCTCTTGGAGGAGGGGGAGTACGTGACCTACGTTAGAAATATGTTTTAGTTAATAATTTAGGTAATTTTATTATTGTATAGGAAAGTAATTATGAATTTCATTTTTTCAGTTAATTATGTTAAATAAAAAATTATGACAGGGGTTATTCGTAATTTTTTCAAATCACATGAGACAATCTGTATTTTAAGAAAACCTCAGGGAGTGTATTTGTAATTTATCATTAATAATAATGAGAGATTTATTTGTGAATCATATTTAGAAGACTTATTATAAGTTGATAAAGTATTTTTCACTTAATTCTATCAATTTATTATTATTTATTTATTTACCATCTACAAGATATTTTATATTTTAAATATTTTTTTATTTATTTTAATGTGCATTATATTTCATACATTTATGTGTTGCATTTTTTAATATTTTAAATATATTTTTTAAATATTAAAAAAAATTTAAAAATTATTTTTTATTTTAAATGTATCATTTTTATTATAAATATTTTTAAATTATTTTATTTTATGGTTGTGTTGGTCAAAGCAAAAGGTTTTTTCGTCTTTTACTTTACGAGAGTGATGTTAGTCTTGAAGAAATGATTTTTCGTCTTTTTGCAGGCAAAAGAAAGGGTAATATGGTCATTTTATATAAAATATTAACGTCGTTTGTGCAAAATAGACAGAATGGGGGAATCTTGACATTGTCAGATAAAGTAGGAGAGGTTACTGTAATTATTCAAACTACAGGAGAGATCTCTGTATTTGTCAGAAACCTCAGGGGAGGTAAATGTAATTTACCCAATAAAATTTTAGTCTTGCAAAAGGGTTTTTTCGTCTTTTACTTTCTGAGAGTGATGTTAGTCTTGAAGAAAGGGTTTTTCGTCTTTTTGCAGGCAAAAGTAAGGGTAATATGATCATTTTATATAAAATATTAACGTCGTTTGTGCAAAATAGACAGAATGGGAGAATCTTGACATTGTCAGGTAAAGTAGGAGAGGTTACTGTAATTATTCAAACTACAAGAGAGATCTCTCTATTTGTCAGAAAGCTCAGGGTAAATGTATTTTACCCAATAAAATTTTCAATTAAGTTTTAGGGCAACAAAAACAAAAAAATAAAAGAACAAAACAGAAGAGCTCAGAAGCGCCTACTTTCATCTGTAAATCAGATGATTGTGGCAGACCCTACCGCCAACGTTGGGCGCAATTGTCATCATAGCTCTTTGAGTGGAGTGCACCAGCCGGGAATCGAACCCGGGTCTGTACCGTGGCAGGGTACTATTCTACCACTAGACCACTGGTGCTCCTTGTTCTACTCACTTGTTCCTTTTTTTATTTATTATATTCTTTAATTTATTATGCCTTCCTCTTTCTCATACAGCACACTTTCTACCACTCAAAAAATTGATTGAGAATGTTGCAATAATCTTATTTTCATCAAATGTTAGGATGGGTTTGTTTGTGATTTTTATCATATTTTGAGTCGACTATACAAAATTAACTAATTTTAAAATATGTTCTAACTTGACTTATTTAACTAAATGAATTGGTCTCAAACAAATATTGATGAGCCAATCAAAAGTCAAAGAGGCTGTTTGAAAATTAGTTTTTGTAGTGATTTTTAAATTTTTTTATAAAATGATGTACAAAAATATATACAAAAAAATAATTTAATAACTTATGGTAATTTTTTGACTAAAAATCAAAGTTTGCATATTAGGCATTAGTTTATTTAACAATCCTAAAGTTGTGTTTATTTCATGAATTTAAAAAAAGAAAAAAAACATATTTATATTTTACTAACATTTCATTTATCTTTTTATTTTTCCTTTTCAAATCTCTACCCAAATTCATAAATCAAACACAAATGTCTGACAAATTAGAACTATTGTACTAGCAAAAATGTTTGGAAGCTCTAATTAAAACCACCACTAATGATGTGACAATGGACCCCACCCACTGCCACAATGTATGTTGTGCCTTTTTTTTTTTCAATTTCTATCTTACTAGTGGTGGATTTAGAACACTTTATTTAGAGTTCTAAATCATTACTGTTGTACCAATAACTAGAATTGCAAGGAAACTAATTTGCTAACAAAAATTTTGTACAAAAAAAATTCACAAAAATGACGTGTTAGTTACATTTTAAAAATTATAATCACTTTAATGAGCCCTTTGATTTCAAATGAATGGAGACACATTTAATACCTCATAATTTTGCATGAATATTATGTTTGTATATTATCATTTAAACTGCAAATATGCATTCTACTATAATGAATAAAAAAACCAAAATCCATGTTAGCAATTCCCAGCTTTCCCACTCATGGTAAGATGAATGATGCTTTATAAAACTGGAAATGGAAAACAAGCACAAAATCAATGGGAACTAAAATTTCTTTTGATAAAACCAAAAAGAGAACAGCAGAGTGAGTGAGTATACACTGAAGCACATCCTAATCCCTCTCTTACCGCCCTGATTTTGTTAGTATCCATTGCACCCACCGACAATCACAAAACTGGACATAACTACAACGTCAAAAAAGGAGGAAAAAATGATCGCGGAACACCTCATAGCCAAGCAGCTCCATCCCACTGTATGCACTGCCATGATTCCGCAATATATTTCCTCATCAAAGACTGCCAAACAAGCAAAACCCACAACCCTCACGGCACTCATTTCATTGATAAATGCCAAATAATGGTTGCTTCATCCATTACTTGGCAAAGTAGGTGATGCCTCATTCGGGGTAACTAAGCACATATCCAAAAACTGATAAACATTGCCTACAAGATGTGACCTCTGCAACTTCACAAATTTATTTCTTGACATGCTCAGGGATAAGACGTTGACACAATTCAGGTGATGCACCGGCCAGCTCTGTGATAGATTTGGCATGTGATCAAAACAAGGAAAACAACCATACTCACAAAAAATAAAATGTAACTGATAGTTCTCACCTTGAGGTGTGAAATTCATAACAGGAGGAAGCGGTTGACCGTTTGGCAAGCATGCATTTGGTTCCCTCAAATCATCGAAGAAATGGTGAGCACATGCCTCCAACTGAAAAAGTCAACAGATTTTATTTAAAAGAAAGTTTTTCAGAAATTATTATAATTTGTGAAAACTCGGTTACTGATTAAATTTAGGCCTTGTTTGGCATGATCTAAATAAATCAAAAAGTCAAAAAGTCACTATCCTATTTAAGTCATATCATTCTATTTAAGTCACATCACCTCTTTAACACATCATTTCAAACCCAATCTATAGCCAACCCATATTTCATAAAAAGTCAAAAAGTGCACTTATTTAGATCATCCCAAACCACCCCTTAGTGTGCCTTGTACATTTAAGTACATGCAAGAAACGTGTTCTACTCGGTTACTGATTAATTCAAGGTTTATAACAATTAGACATCCAATAAATGTAATGAAAGAAAAAAAATTAAATTAATCATGTAGGAACAAATTTCTCTGAGCATTGACCATTTTTGACATTTTGTCCCGTCAAAACTTTACTCACCTTAGCTATTAGTTCATTATATTTGAGATTTTTTTACTCTTAGACTGTGTTTGGTTCATAGATTTGGGTAGGGATTTGGAAAGCGAAAAGGATAAGGTGTGTGAGATGTAGTTATCTTTAATTCACATTTCACCTACTGTTTTCATTTCTATTTCCAAGTCCCTACCCTAAATCCATTAACCAAACAAAGCATTAAAGAAACCTTTAATAAACATATTGCGGAAAAACTTTTAGCCTATTGTAGTATCACAGGATTCTACAGTTATAGAGAAAATTACATCTACAAGGCTCCAGCAGCTAAACCAAAACAAGAATGATCAGAAAGTTCCAGAGCTAAGGGTATATACAGCAAAAACACAAGCTACTACTACAAAAACCAAGCATGGTTGTTCAAAATGATTGATCTCAATTTTGAATTTTGATATATAGTAAGTAAAGCTCAAATTTCATACCGCAGTGCAACGTAGATTTGGTGAATACTGGAGCATCCTTGATACAAGATCAACTGCCTCAGGTGGCATTCGCTTGTGAAATACCTACAAGACACAATTTCATTAGGTTTGGCTATAATTAAAGTAATGAGCCCATCATTGATGAAGTTGTGTTAAAAGATACATGATCCTCGAAGATTTTCAAATGAACCTTGTGCCATGGGTGAGCTTTGATCTGTGGAAACTTGAATTCAGTATAGTTCGGATTCATGCACTTAATTTCCTCTCTGGTTGGTGTCCCCAGTATCTAATACCAAACAAACCAGGAAGAAAAAAATACACTAAGAGACGCCTAGATCAAAGATTAGAATACAAAAGTGAAAAAAGTAAAATCATTTGAACCTTGATGATTTCCACCAGCTGATCAACCCCACTTTCCCCTGGAAACAGAGGCTGCACATCATACCACATTCATTAAACATCAGAACCAGCTCAATAGTATCTTCTCAAATAAACATATAATTAAAAAAATATTTAAGCAAGAAAACTACATTGCCAAAATTCCATCAAGGAATGCTTAGTATAATAGATGTCAAAATAGCTATAAGAAATAGAAAAATCAGGAAACTCCAGCACCAACCCAGAAAAATAAATAACTGAAACACTGATATTAAATAAACAACAATTCTTAAAAATGTGTAAGCTCATATAACATAGACATCAATGCTGCCAAGACCCAAACCCAACAAATGTAACAGTTTCAAAATACAAGATGATGAAAATTGAAGAAATCTACAAAACAAAATAAAAGGACAATGCAGAGGTAAAAACATATTAAAGAATTAGATGCAAAAGAGCCCAAGTGAAGGAACATGGTTGCCATCCATCCACATGCATACTTCACATATAAAAGAATAGGAAAAATATCAAATAAATCTAACTTTTCTCATGAAATTTTCATCACGTTGTATTAACACTATGTTGAGAGGGCTGATCCATGTGTTAATAGGATTCCATGAAAATTTCATGGAAAAAGAACCTATTGAGAGTTTTCCCCAAAATGTATGAGAATATATAATTAGCAATAATTAATCTGAAATCAATCACATAATCATAATATTTGAAGCAAATACTTTATTTATGGGTGCGGAACAATACAGGTTCCTATGCTGATTTATTGCAAGATGAAGTGGATTTGCCCATGTCAACTCAATAACAGTTCAGTTAGATTCATCGGTAAAAGAAGCTCCAATATACACCCACCTGACCAAGAAGTAGCTCAGCCATAACACAACCAACAGACCACATATCAATTGCAGTTGTGTATTCCGTAGCCCCAAATATCAGTTCCGGAGCCCTATAATACCGTGAACAAATATATGATATGTTGGGCTCACCAGGCACCTGCAATAGGAGAAATAAATCTCTAACATTGCCAGATGATAAAAGCACATCACATTTCCATAAATACAAACATACCAACATCTTTGCACTCCCAAAATCACACAACTTCAGCTGATGAGTATGGGGATTAACCTGCAACATGCGTCAAAACCTCAGCCAAAATTAGTTTGAGAAAATATGAACTTCCTAAAGATGTGTACTAATGCTCCATAAAAAGAAAAAAGAAAGCAATAACAGTTAAGACATAAAAAACATATCATTTTTTGCGCGCACACAAAAAAAGAGCAAACAAAAACGTGTCCAGCACACTAACCCATAAAGACACGAATATAGATACACACTGTCCAATAAAGTTCCACTTTCTCTTGCTTTTCTTTTCAAGATGACGTTTTAAAAATTCCTATCACATTTTGAGAGATAAGTTCATAGGCAAAAGACCTTAGGGAGACATAAAACATTTTCAGAAAACAAACTATAAGTCATAATTTTCTACTAAAACGAGCGACAAGAATTTTTTCGTTCTCAATAATTAATACAATGCATTATAAAAGTTTAATGCAATACAACACATGTGCATGGAGTGTCAGCACCACTGATACACTAATATTCTTATACTAACCCTTCACAAATGTATCCTCTCTCATTGTCATACAGCTAAGGTTATGTTTTGCGTACACATAAGAATCACAGATTTATGACTTTCCATCTTTCATATCTGACATGGTAAGGCATCAGTTCCTTAAACCATTTGATTATCAGAAATGCTATGTACTCAGAAAAGTGCCCAAAATTTTAACCTACATTGTAGATTGACACTTGGTGTGGCACGGGCCACACCTAGAATAAATCTGATTCACATTTCAAATTCTGGCAACTTTCCTAAGTACTTTTCTGGGTATGTAGCACTGTTGTTTGGTCACAGTTTCAAGTTCCCCACGTAAATCGTTTACTATCATCCAGACCCTTGTCAGTGGTCAAGGTCAAATATGGAAATTGCATCTCAATATTTAAAATAACTTCAGCAACACATCACATAGAAAAACGTTGAAAGACATGTGGATTTAAATCTGGTACATAAAGGTCACCTATTCTTTGATGGGATATAATTTAAACACTGTGAAATAAATAAAGCAAAAGCAGTAAACAAATTATGTCAATCACAGCATGCAGTTCAAAATTCATATTCCATAATCATGCTAGAAGTTTCGAATCACAAACAAGAGTGTCAAAGAAAATATAATGACTTATTAAAATAACCCTTTATATTAGTATTTATTGCAATACAAAGAAAATAAATCTTACCAATAGATTTTGTGGCTTAATATCACGATGACATACACCGATAACATTGTGTATGTAATTAAGAGCACGGCAAATCTACAAAAAATTACATAGATTATAAGTTAACCAAGACCTAGAATAAAACACAGCAAGAATTAAGAAAACAAAATCTATTTCTATGCTATGCACCAGAGTATGAGAAACCAAATGAAACAACATGAATACAAGCATGGTTTCAAATTTCACCTGGTATGTATAGAGTTGTACATAAATGATGGGCACATGTTGGCTCAACCTGCTATAATGCCTTGAGACCCGGTAGACGGTTTCAGATACATACTCTAAAACAAGATTAAGGTACACCTCATCTTTTTCGGTAGTTGAAAAGAAACAGTGCTTTATTTGAACAACATTAGGATGGTCCAGCAAGCGCATAATCTGGAGCTCTCTATTCTTGTATCTCTTATCCTGCAACACCTTCTTTATCGCAACAGCTTCACCAGTTTCCAGGCACTTGGCCTAAAATAAACACATAGTAAATGCAAAAGGAAACATCATCAATATCTAATAAATGAAAAGAGGTTTACCTCAATTTTTTTAAGTAAACACATGCTAGCCAATTATTAATACCTGAAAGACAACACCAAATGAACCAGTGCCAACCACACGCTCTGCCATGTATGAGATTGTCTGGGACAAAAGTAACAAAAATAAGTTTAAAAAAGGAAAGAAAAAAAGTTTTAATCAATTGCCTAACTGAACCTAGTTTATCAGGGAACAATCAGTTAAGGACATCCCTTTCCTTTTTCAAATTTTCCCCCCCTCTTGGGGTTTTTGGAAGCAAGACCAATCCCCTCTAGATAAATGAGGCACTCTGCATGCTTGCCATATCAACAGTTATATTGGGTAGGAGTTGAACCTAGGACCTCTAACTTAGGCCTCGTTTGGGAACAGGCTAATTTAGTAACTTTTCAGCTATTTTGCTAAAATATGAGCTAAAAAAAACTAGTATGCTTGGGATGACTTTTTGGCTTTTTACGAAAAGATGTGCAAAAAGTAGAGAGAAAAAAAAATCTTTGACTTTTTGGTGTGGGTTGTTGGCTTTTTGGCTAATTTAATAACTTGTTGGCTTTTTGACTAAAAATAAGAGTTCCCAAACGAGGCCTTAATTACAATGTTTCACACCAACCCAGCCACGGGGTATTCTAGATCCAAGCAAAAAGTTATTGAACTAGGTTGGAAGTACGGAAAGATAAATTGACTTATTAGTATTCATCAGGTTCAGGTGCCAGCTAGCAGAATTGGTATAATCTTTTGGGAGTCATACAAGGTCTAGTTGGCAAAATCTTTCAATAGTCATTCAAGGTCTAGTTGGTAAAGTCTTTTGGGAGTAGTACTAGCGACCTGTGATTAAATCCTACCTTCATTAAAGTTGGACTTGTTATGGGTAGGGGGAGGACTACAGCCGGCAATGTAGCCATATACCATTGGACTAATAGTCTAATACTAACAATAATGATAACAATTATATTACTACTAATTTTGTACTTAAATTTCAAATTAGCTGCAATTAATAACAACTGATCCCCAGCACCATCAACAATGAAAAATAAATTTGAAGGGAAAAAAAAAAAACAAACACAAGGCATTAGAAAATGAAAAACCAAAAGTCGACAAGCACAACTAGGAAAAGCAACAGCATACTGGAACAGAAAAGAAAACAAATCACCTGTTTCGGTTGTCCATTTCGACCACTCACTGTAGTGGAAATTATCTGACCTGTTTCTGGTCCATTTCCATTGACAAAAGTGCCTTCCATATCCTGCATGAAGCAAAAGATCAGTGATATAATATCTGTCATGTCAAGCTTTCAATAAATAAAGATGTGATAAACTTTTGGCAATATTAACAATGAAATTTTACTTTATCATCATGGTTCTCGTCTCTGATTTTCATTTCATGCATCTCTTTGGGAAGTTCATCATAACCAGATTTTTCAGCTCTACCAATAGAAGATGCATGGGACGAGCTTGCAGCAGTTTCCCTAGATGTGGAAGCCTTATTTTGCTCTACTTCAACCGCACATCTCTCGAAGGATTGTGATTCAACAGTAACCTTCCGATCTACTTCTTGGTCAACCTTCACCCTCTTTATGCTAGAATCCCCAACCTAGAACATAAATTGCAATTTTATACATGTAAAAAGGTGAAGAATGCATTGATGAACAAATTAAGCACACGTCACTTTGCCTCCGTGCAATTGTTAGTATACAGCTCAATGGTCATTTCATTTATCACACTAGAACATAGACCACCAAATCAAACTAAGTGCTTGTTTGGCATATTCTATAAAAGACAAAAAACCAAAAAGTTAATAAAAAAGCCAAAAAGTTATCACTATTCACCAAAAAAATATATATAAAAACAATAAATTTATACAAGAAAAAAGTACAAGCCAACTATGGCCATTGTAGTGATGGTACATTGTAAAGTGATGGTACAAATTTACACAGGCGGTGCACAAAATATTTACACAGGATGGTGCTGTTTGGCCCATGGGGGCCCATCACAATGATGGATCTAGGAGGGGGCCAGGGGGGGCGGCCGCACCCCCAAAAATTTTAAAAATATCATATATTATATTAAAAATTTTAAAATAACTTAAAATTATAGGAGTTCACACCCCCAAATTTTTTGTAGATAATTTCAAAATTATATAGAGTAGCTCTCCCAATTTTTTAAGTTACAGAGTAGCCCCCCCAAGACATAATCCTGGATCCGTCTTTGGCCCATCACGGGTCCCGTTTTGATAATCTGAACCGTTTAATGTGTAGAACTAGTCGAGTACTATATGCTTGTAAAAAATCGTATTAATCGAATATCAATAGTTATATAATCAAATCAATTTTGTATAATAAAAAATGGACAGTGAACAAATTAACGGTTGACAAAAAACTGATCCGATGAGATAGCTATCGATATTCGATCAACTTGATTTTTTACAAGCATATAGTACTCGACAAGTTCTACACATTGAACGGTTCGGATTATCAAAATGGGACCCGTGATGAGGCCTCACAGGCCGAACACTACCGTCCAATCCACCACACAACTTCAAAGCAACGTAGCTAATTGGCTTCCTAAACAATCATTGTCAGTACACGCATAGGGGGCATTAGTGGTAATCCGATAATTTTGCTATTTTATACAATATTTTAATACACATTTTTTCGTAAAAAATCAAAAAGTTATCCCAAAAAATCATCTTTTTTTCCTCTACTTTTTTATCCAAAAAGTCAAAAAGTGCACTTATATAGTTCATCCCAAACAACTCCTAAGTCCTTTCCCCAATCAAGTGGGGTCAGTTTTATAAATCCTTTTTTCCAATTCTACTTTGCCAATCGGTATATGCTCAGTTAAATTAAATAAATCCATATCCTTTTTTATTATTGCATTCCATGCTAGTTTAGGTATTCCCCCTCCCCATAACATTCACATTCATTGTTTGAGTGCTTCTAACTCCACACATGCAGTGTGCATTGCATATCCATCCATTGGTCGTTGAGCAATGGAGCCACGAGGAGCAAAGATCGAAATGCGGAGTTCATGGAGCACTAGGTAATCAAGAGTTTCTACCGACTTAGAGCCACGAGAAATAGAGCACAAGCTAAGAGCTTGACTAGAGACTGCTAGAGTGAAGTTAAACAAGATGGATTGTAAGTACTCTCATCTTAATAATTCACAAACCAAGTTAAAAGGATTTAAAATCGAATTTTTAATTTCTTAATCTTCCTAGTAGTTTGGCCAATTCACCCCCTCTAGGCACAAACAGTCATGCTCCACTATTAAGGAACAAATCCTCATGAAGACTAGGTTACAACTTGTACCCAACAATCATTTCTACAAGTTTAGGTTTACCAACAGATTGCACATTAAACTTCCTTGTCCTAATACTTCGTTACATGGCTGCATCGAGATGAGTTTATGTGCTCATGCTCAATTCAACCCTCTATGTCAACTAAAATTATCTGTTCACCCTAAGCAACAAAGAATTTTTAAGAGATATTAATATTTAGCCATGCTCTAATTTGACTTGACAAAGTGATGAATATGACACCTGGCACATCCCCCAATCTATCAACTTGACATACCCCAATCTATCTAATACACTTGTAATCTGATAAAACCCACCCGATACTCATGTCATAACCCAATGAAGATAACATGATCTATGAGAAATGAATAATGAATAATAATAAAAATAATAATATAAAGTAAGATATCAAAATGTGCTGACTACAAATAAGAAAACAACCACAGAGTGATCTCAAAGTAATATGCCACTTTTACATATAAATGCAACACAAAATAATTCAAACCTACATACGGCATTTCAAAGAGGATTAGATCATTTTTCATGCCCACACAAAATATAATGATCACAATGGGCAAGATCTTCGTCAATCATTACGCCTTAAAGGGCTCCACAGACTCTTTCAGACGGAACATTCCTTCCATGGAGAACAAGAACAAACTCATTGAGAGAATTGCAAATCTTAAGCTTGCTCAGGATGCTAACCTCTATACCAAGTCTAAGAAATCTAGTTGTATACCTTCTATGAATAATAAGTGTTGTCCTCTAACTTTGTATGTTGTTTGTCTTTTGGCCTAGCTCTTGAGTTGTGAGAGTTTGTTTTATCGTGAGAGTTTATTTTATCACTAGGTCTTTGAATGCGTTGTTTTGATGGCTTGCTCAACTATCTTTATTGTCCCCTATGGGGGTGTATTGAGCCTCATTTTAATAAAATAAAATAAAAATAAAAATTATAAAAAAATATTTGATCACAATGAACACTAAAAAAATGATGAGTAGCATTATTGCACCCTTCTTTTTTAGCTTCACGCACCCAAACTCCTTTCAAACTGACATCCAATCACCATGTGGAACACATTATGTGATCCTTTATATAAACTATTCAGATTTTTTTGTTTTAATAAATACTCAAAATTCAGAAATTTAGACCACAAAACTTTGTATATCCTACAATAACCCATAAAGCCAAACAAAAATCATATACAAGCAGAAACCTAGATGCTATAAATATATACATGTGTTTCTAGCCTTGAGTTCTAAAAAAACTCGAAAATGTATTTCCAGAAAACACCCTATTCAGACCCAAAACTAATGGGAACAGGGTCAAACAAATTAAAAAGGAAAAATAACCTAACACCAAAAAAAAAAAAACCCATTGAATCACAAACATTTTGGATCGTGAAGTGAGAAAAGAAAGGAAATGATTGTGGTTTCTCACCTTCATGTTTGGATAGTTTAGGTATTATAAGTTTTTTTTGTAAAAAGTAATTTTGGTTTCTCATCAAATTTCACAACTTCGGTTTTGAGAGATTTGCCTTTCTCACCATTTCTCTCCTTTTCTCACCAAAACCCCCCAATCCAAACGGAGTGGACAAGAACAGGAAGAAAAAAAAAGGGGGAAACAATCAATAATTACGCAACATAAAAATCTGGTAGACAGATCAAAAGGTGGACCAAATAATAACAAAAATGTGTGTATATGCTGTATAAAAACAGATAATTCATATACAAAAATGCATATACCTATATAATGAAAATATCGCTCAATTTCATAATACAAGAAAATGCAGGGGGGAAAAAATCTTAACATCTATCTGTATCAACTTAGGTGAATTTATCAATCACTTCCCTGAAACAACCACAACCCAAATCACAAGATTCAAAATTTTCCTTTCCTTTCTTTGATTTCATTTTCCTTTGTTTTATTTACACATTTGCATCCATATATATGCATTTTGTACACACACATATCTTATATATATATATATAGAGAGAGAGAGAGAGAATTACAGGATCGGAAACAGAGGAGCGGCCGGAAGCGATGCTCTTGAGGCGACGCATGACATTCATTATGGTTTCTGAAACGAAACCCTAATTTTGTCTCTCTCCCTAAATTTCTTGATCAAGAGAAGAGAGAGAGAAAGAGAAAGCTATGGCTCTCCAATCTCTCTCCTCTGCTGCATTCAACCGAGAGAGGAATCTGCGAAAAAGACACCAATCCACCAACACCACCACCAGCTCCCCCCTCTCTCTCTCTCTCTCTCTCTCTCTCTTGTTTTTGCGATTTTTCTACGGTCAAAGTCGTTATCAAAGCCAATCATTCCAACCTAATTCGTACTTCAGTCAAACTTCGATTTTTGACCGTCGATTTATCATCCCTAAGTGATCCGACGGTTAATTTATTTTTTAGCTTGAGCTTCTGTCAGGTGTTGGAGGAGATTGAATTTTGGATTTCGTTTCTCTTTGGCTTATCATTTTAATATGGGAGTGTGTAGTTTAAAACTAATATTGATGGTAAGAACTGTGTAATTTTTTAAATTTGTTGAGTTAAATATTTATATAAAAGATTAAAATAAGTATATGTTTGAATGATATTTGTTTAAAAAAATTAGAAAATAAATATAATTTTGAAAATAAATATTTATTTATATAATATAAATTTAATTTAAATATATAGTTATTCATATTCGATTATCTTTTTTTTTTTTGCATGAATATTCTACTCAATGAATCTTAAAATATGGACGATTCGGATCGTCGAAATAAAATATATGATCTCTACAAACCCTTCAAGTTCTTTTATATCTTTTATATTAAAATGTAATCACAACAAAAAAAAAAACCTTAGCTATTAAGCCTCCGTTTGGGAAGTGGGTTGGTTTTTTGATTTTTTGGCTTTTTTAGCTATTTTAACCTGGGTTAAAAAGTTTGGTTTGAGAAGGGCTTTTTAGTTTTTTTGCTTTTTTGACTTTTTTTGTGAAAGAAGAATGCAATGATTATGGATTTGATGTGATATTTTATTTTTTTGACTAAAATAACCTATTTTGTCTTTTATGACTAAAATAGTCAAAAAAGCCTCGTTTAGCTCTTGCCAAACGGAGTCGTTTGGTTTTCATTTTGGGACTAAAAAATACAAAAAGACAAAATAAATTATATAAATTAATAAGATAAAATGTCGCATTCAAACTATAATCATTACACTTTTTCTTTCACAAAAATTTAAAAAGTCCAAAAATAAAAATCAAATGAGGCTAAAAAAATCAGGTTAAAAAAGTTCTAACACAAAAAAGTTGGTTACCATAACCAATATCAAACGGAGTTTAAATTTTTTTTAGTGTTCCAAAAATGCCCTTGGATTTATTAGAGATACATATGGTGGAATACTAAGAAATTACGTACAAATATGATTTCATTTGTAATTAGTTAAAAAACTAGTTTAACACTAGTCATGGAGTCAATAAATTAAGGCCAAGTTTGGGAAGATCTAAAAAAGTTAAAAAGTCAAAAAGTTACTCAAAAAACTAAAAAGTTAACACTATTCACCAAAAATCAACAATTACGGCTGCACAACTCCCAATTCAAATTTTTCTCTACAAATCAATTTTTACAATTTTTTATTACACATTTTTCAATAAAAAGTCAAAAAGTTAACCCAAACATCCATATTTTCAACCTCAATTTTTTAGTCCAAAAAGACAAAAAGTGCACTTTTTTAGTCTTCCCAAACTTGGCCTTAGTGAGAGTGACACTTAAGAATTACAATTTTTTATTCAAAAAAATTAGATTAACATTAAGATAATAATCACTTTGCTTGTTTTTAATTTTTTAAAAATATTTTTCAAAAAATTTTACTTTATTGTTTTTCGTATTTTTTTATTTTTACTAAATTTTTTTAATATTTTAAGCAATTTTTTTAATTTTTAGACACACCTAACATAAATACATATAAAAAGTATAATTTTTGTGAAAAATCTTTTAAAAATTCACTAAATATACAAAAAAAATACGAGAATTCAGTATATTTTTGTATTTTTATGTATTTATTAAATTTTTAAAATCTTTTTTACAAATTTTTTACCTTTTAGTACATTTAAGTAATGTGCATCTAAAAAAATAAAAAAATGCTTAAAATTTTAAAAATATTCACTAAAAACAAAAAAAAACACGAAAAATAAAAAAACCCAGTTTTTAAAAAATTTAATCCAAAAAACTCAAACTAAACACACATAATAATTTTATGAGCTAAATTTAAACATAAAAAATTACATATTCGTTATTAATAGGAACAAATCAAAATTCTATAATAGTGTGGAATAGCTCGATGCAGAATAGTGATTTAAGTTTACAATTTTAGCACAAAAAATTATAGATCAAAATTCTTAATTTTAGAAAATAAAAATATATCATTTATAGCCTAGATTATTATAAAAACTATTCAGTGTGTTTGGTTTGAGTTTTCTGGATTAAGTTTTTTAAAAATTGAATTTTTTGATTTTCGTATTTTTTTATTTTTAGTGAATATTTTTAAAATTTTAAATATTTTTTAATTTTTTAGATGTACCTTACTTAGATGTATCTAAAAAGTTAAAAAAAAATGTGAAAAAATATTTTAAAAAATTAAGAAATACATAAAAATATAAAAAATGTACTGAATTCTTATATTTTTTTGTATTTATGATATTTAGTGAATTTTTAAAAGATTTTTTTAATATTTTTTTTACTTTTTAGGTGTATTTATGTTAAGTGTGTCTAAAAAGTAAAAAAATTGCATAAAATATTAAAACAATTCAGTAAAAATAAAAAAACACGAAAAATAAGAAAATAGAATTTTCTGAAAACTGTTTTTAGAAAAATGGAACCAAACATAGTGATTAATTTTTATTTGGAAAAAAAATATTAAAGAGATGACATTGCTTATAAATGATGTGTTTTAAATGAAAATTACAGTCTTAGAGTACTATATGGCGTTACTTACATGATGCTTAAAATATGAAAAATCACAAATCATACTAAGCAGTCTATCAACTACTTGAAAATAATGAGTTTATTATTTTGCTATAAGATTTTTTGCTATACTATTGATTTAAACTATTACATAAATAATACCATATAGTACTCCTAAAGTATTAAATAATTACTTATTGTGAACAATATAATAAATTCTTAACTAAAGAACATGATAAGAAAAATAGAAAATACATTTTGTATATGAAAAAAAAAAAGAGAGGAGGGGCACTTGACCCCCGGCCATGCTTTGCCACTGCCTTTGTTTAACACAATTATGATTTTTTTTTATAAAAATTAAAATAAGATTAAGGACTTGTTTGGGAAAATAGATTTTTAACTCAAAAAAATAAAAAAAAAAGTTATTATAAGTTGTCAAATTATCATTTTTATTTTTCTACAATTTTTTTCTCAAAAAATTAAAAAAATCACTAAAAAAAAAAAAGTCAATTCCCAAACATTTTCTAACAAAATTTTACTATTTTGAATTTTTTATATGTGACAAAAAGTAAAAGGATTTTTTCGCTTGAGAAAAATGGTAAATTAGATTAGAAACTACTGCCAAAAAAACCCCATATACAACTTTTTAGACGTTTAATTAATTATATATATATATATATATATATTTATTTATTTATTTAGATAATAGTGGTTGGATATATGCGTTGCACATGATACGTGATTTTTTTTATCAATTATTAGTACTGTAATTATGTGTATATTTTAAATTGGTATATGATATATATAGAAAGCATGGAGACTTGTATGAGTAAATTGATTTGTATCCAAAATATAACTAAGTAATAAATGAATACATACTCGGTTGAAGAATTTAAATGATAAATGAGAAATTTTATAAATATAAACATTAATTTGTAGCTAGACTATCACAATTTTATCTTAAACAATAAACATATAATTTAAATATATAGTATTACACAAATATTTTTCTATCAACCTCCTACTTCAATTTTTCACAATCCGTATCTGTAATACAATTGAAAGTATGAAATTAATTACACAATTACACAATTTTATTTAATAGTTCATCTAATAATATAAATTCATCGAACCCACTATTGCATGTTATTTGCATACTATTGGTGTAAGAATTCATTAATATCAATATATAATATATTTTTATACACTAAGGGTTATTAAGTCTTGTTTTCTATGCCACAAATATCTTGCATGATGAAAAATACAACATTAGTCATTAGTATATTTTTGATTAAGGCCGAAATGTACATCATTGAGGCCGTTAATTAGAATCTCTTAACTTCACTTGCTGGTCAAACTGTATATTTTATGTATGTTGAGTGTCAATCAGGTTGTACATCGTCGAAGCATAAAATGAGCAAAAAGACAGAATTTGGGGTAGAGTTGACTTTTTCGCACGTGCGTTGACTTTTCCGCACGTGCGTTGACTTTTTCTGGGAAAGTCAAACCGACGTTTTAAACCTGTTTGGACGAGATTGGAAGCATAAAAAGACAAGAAAAAGGCTGGATTAGGGTTCTGAAATTGTTTTGACCTAAAGAGGGAGGCTAGGGTTTGCAAAAGAGGAAGAAACAAAAAGCTTCAAAGATGTCTCCCATGGGGATTCCTTCTCTTTCTACTTCCTTCCACTCCTCCATGAGTGGCTAGTCTTCTTTTCTAGGGTTTTGATGAAACCCTAGCCATGTAATTATGTAGTTTTCTTTTTTTGATTTTATATTATGTAAAGGTTTGAACCATTGTATGGTGTTTTAGAAATTCTTTATATATAATTTTCATTATCTTTTCAAATATTTGACCTTCTGTGATTGTTGAATATTATCCATACATGAGTTTTCTATTCCTTCACATTCAAGGTATGGGACGAACCAT